ATTTTTAAATTTAAAAGTGAGCTGGGGGCTGGGAATGTAGCTCAGTGGTAGTATGCTTGCCTAGCATGCATGAAGCCCCGGGTTTTTTCCTCAGTGCCACATAAACAGAAAAAAGCCTGAAGTGGTGCTGTGGCTCAAGTGGAGGAGCACTAGCTTTGAGCCAAAGAAGCTCAGAGACATTGTCCAGGTCCTGAGTTCAAGCCCCATAACAGGCAAAAAAAAAAAAAAAATCGAGCTGGTCTCTGTAATACTAACTACTTAGATGGCTGAGATTTGAGGATCACAATTCGAAGCCAGCCCAGGCAGGAAAGTCCATGTTACTTATCTCCAATAAACTACCAAAAAAAAAAAAAAAGCCAGAAGTGGAATTGTGGTAGTGCAAGGCTTGAGCAGAAGAAGCTCAGGGACAGTACCCAGGCTCTAAGTTCAAGTGCCAGCACTGGCACACACACAAAAAAATTATAAATGAAAGAAACACTCTGACTTCCTAGAGGTAGTGGCTAAAACCAAACAAGTGAAGATGACATTGTATCTCATTTCTTCTAGGGACATCCCAGTAACCTGCATCATATCATGACCACAAATGTACAGATGTCCATAATCCGCAGCAGTGCCCCGGGACCACCTCTTCACATCGGAGCTTCTCATTTACCTCGAGGTAAAAACGACATGCTGTGTTCACCTTCTGCAAATAGAATGACAGAGTTAAAGGTTTGGTGACAGAATATATGTAGAGTCAGCTTGTTGAAATTAAAGCATGGTGGGCTGGGAAGGTGGCTCAGTAGCATGCCTTGCATGCATGAGGCCCCTGGGTTCGGTTCCTCAGCACCACATATGCAGAAAAAGCCACAAGTGGCGTTGTGGCTCAAGTGGTAGAGCACTAGCCTTGAGCTGAAATGCTGAGGGACAGTACCCAGGCCCAGAGTTCAGGCCCCACAACCAGCAAAAAAATAAAAAGAAATTAAAGCATGGTAAAAATAAACTTAGACCAAGTTTTTAAACAGTGAGCTTTTTAGAGTTGCATTTGACTAAATGTATTTATGTCAACTTAAAGCTGTATTTCCCAAGCTGGTCTCAAACTCTTGATCCTCCTGCCTTAGTCTCAAGTGCTGACTTCAATTCAAAGTTCTATTGTGGCATTGTTGTAAAAAAGTTTTTTTAAATGCTAGGCATAGAACCTAAGACCTTGAAGATGCTAAGCAACATTACCATTGAGCTATACCCCCAGCTCAATACTAAATACTTTCAAAATTTATCAGTGTTGCAGATTTTTAACTCATTTCAGTAAGATTAATTTGTTCTTAAAGCTAATTTCAAATAAGCTGTAAGATAGTAAATTTAATGTTTTTTCCAGAAATGAATGTACTCTTCTTTTGGAGAGTGTTAGCAAAATCAAGTGAACAAACATCAAACCCGGTTTGCTCAGTCATAGCATAACACACTGTTCCTCAGCTTGGAGTTCACTGGCTCTTCTAGGGGGTTTGTAGCATCAAAACTGTTTTCATGAAAGCACAAAAACTAATTGCCTCTGTCACAGTGTTTATATCTGCCTAGAAGAACAAAGGCGTAGTAGGTAGGGTAAAGAATCACTGTATGCTAATTATATGCTAATTAAAGTACTCAAGCCTTACCTAGAAGTAGGTGCTGTTTGTTATGTGTGTCTTATTTGCAAAACAGAAGCCATGGATTATTACACAGCCAAAAGAAAAATGAAATCAAGTCATTTGCAGGAAAATGATGGAATTGGAGATCATCATGTTGAATGAGATAAGCCAAGTTCAAAAAGCCCACTAACATGTTTTGCTCATTTGTGGAAGCTCTGTCTAAAGGACATACATACTCTTTCTTAACCATTTACATTTACACACACACACAAACACACACACACTGACACACGATTCTAACTCTGGGACTGCTTAGAGAGATGAAAGCAAGAGGAGAAGGGAGAAAGCTGTAGGGCGAATAATTTTGAAATACATTGCAACTCTATCAAGGGAGCATAATAAAAGCTGTTGATCAATGTGGGGCTGAGAGCAGTGAAAAAGCAATAAAGAGAGCTATTCTGAATAAAACAATATATGCATGTATGAAATACCATGGTGAAAACCCTTGGTACATTTAGTACACAAAAAGAAAAGAATGACAGGAAAGTAAGACAGGCTTTGGCAGAGTCATCAGCGAGAAAGGGAGAGCAAACATGGTGAATGAAGATGAATCTGGTTTATTTGCATATATAAAAACAGAACAATGAAACCTGTTGAGATTTCAACAGATTTGTAAGTGGGAAAGGGACACATAGTGAGGCTAGAAATGTCAAAATTAACCTCTTCTTGTGCAACTAATGTATGCTAATAAATGAAAAACAAAAGCAAAACAGTAACTAGTTTCATTTAAGAATGTTCTTTTTTTTTCTGTCGGTTGTAGGGCCTCAGCTTGGCCTGGGCGCTGTCCCTCAGCTCTTCAGCTCAAGGCTAGAGCTCTACCACTTGAGCCATAGTGCCACTTGTGACTTTTTCTGCCTATGTGGTGCTGAGGAATAGAACCCAAGGCCTCATAAATGCAAAACAAGCACTCTACCACTGAGCCACCTTTCCAGCCTCATTTAAGAATGTTTTTAAAGAAGCTGTAAAATGTTACTAGTCTTACTAAATCTTAACCCTTGAGTACACAATTTTAAGTTTTCTTTGTGACCAAATAGGAAATATATGTAACTTCAACTAGATGCCAACATAATAAATTTTAGAAAGTATTACTTTTCTAGGAAATACAATTATCTATTTAAATTGTAAACCCATATGACATACTAATATTTTTTTTTCCAGGTGCAGCTGCTGCGGCTGTGATGTCTAGCTCTAAAGTAACCACAGTGCTGAGGCCGACTTCACAGCTGCCCAATGCTGCCACAGCACAACCAGCAGTCCAGCACATCATTCACCAACCAATCCAGGCATGTGAGGCTACAGATATTTGGCCAGCAAAGTTTTTTGTTTTTCTAAAAGTATTTGTATTATCTCTAAGTAGTTGTACAAAGAAATTCCATTCAACAAAGCAGTTTATGAACACAGTGCATCTTGATCAATGTCACTCTTTCAGCATTCTCACCCACCCCTCCCAACTTATCCCTGCCCTCACTTTTCTTAATTTTAGGATAGTTATTGATTTTTTTAAATTTAATTTTTTTTACCATTTAACAAAGCAGTTTATATATACAATGCATCTTGATCTGGGTCATTCCTTCAACCTTTTAATACTACAGCTTTCCCTCTACCTGATACTAGGAGAGTCCATAACTACAATTAATTGAGCTTTCAAAAGTTTGGGGCATTTGAAAGATACACAGTGTCATGTGGTGTACTGGAGTGAGGGAGAGGAGAGCTAGTTAGTTAGGATGTGGTGAATCTGTGGAAATAAAGTTGAGATGTAAAGATGCCATGAGGAGACAGAGTAAGGTTATGAGCAGTGTTTCATGAAGGCTGGGGGAGGTTGGAAAGGGCTTGAAATTCATGTCAGTGAACATTTTCTTAGGAAAATGGACCATGCCATTCAACTCCTTTTTTTTTTCTACAGTGCTATGGCTCAAGTATATGCTTGTAAATGTTTATAATGAAGCTATATTCCCAACTTTTCCTAATTTTCTTTTTCATACCAGTCATAGGGCTTGAACTCAGGGCCTAGGCACTGTTTGTGAGCTCTTTTGCTCAAGGCTATTGCTCTACCATTTGAGCCACAGCTCCACTTCTGGCTTTTTGATGGTAAATTGAAGGTGGTAAGAGTGTCACTGGTCTTGCCTGCCTGGGCTGGCCTCAAATTTCAATCCTTAGATCTAGCTTCCTGAGTATCTGGCTTGACCCCCTGGCTCCAGCTCCTTCTAATTTTTATTCATCGATCAGTACTATGAATGTATAATGTATTGGAAGGAGATATTGGGTATCTGTAAACCGAGGATTTTTTTTTTTTTTTTTGGGTCCGGTCGTGGGGCCTGAACTCTGGGTCTGGGCACTGTCCCTGAGCTCTTCAGCTCAAGACTAGCACTCTATCACTTGAGCCACAGCGCCACTTCCAGCTTTTTCTGCTTATGTGGTGCTGAGGAATCAAACCCAGGGCCTCATGCATGCAAGGCAAGTGCTCTACCATTGAGCCACCTTCCCAGCCCTAAACCGAGGATTTTATTTAACTTTTTAAAAAACTTTTTATTGTTATTATACAGGTGATGTACAGAGGAGTTACAGTTATGTAAGTCAGGTGATGAGTACATTTCTTTTTGGACAATTTCACCCTAAACTAACGATTCTTCTTTTTTTTTTGTCAGTTGTGGGGCTTGAACTCTGGGCCTGGGTACTGTCCCTCAGCTCAAGACTAGTGCTCTACCACTTGATCCACAGCACTACTTCCAGTTTTCTGTGTGGTTTATTGGAGATAAGAGTCACGGACTTTCCTGCCTAGGCTGGCTTTGAGCCACCATCCTCAGATCTCAGCCTCCTGAGTAGCTAGGATTACAGGCGTGAGCCACCAGCGCCCGGCTCTAGGATTTTTTTTTAGAGGAGAACATACATGTAACTTCTGGAGTACTGGCAGGTTCCTGGACTTGTGAATGTTTATATTAAAATCTCTTATTTTTAACTAAAATTTTTGTTAATTTTAAAATTCTATTCTTTGATATGTATTTGACTCATTAAATGTTTAAAATTATTTAATTGTGTAAAAACTAAGTCCCAGAACACTTTCCCTTTGTTTTCACAAAAAAAAAATCAGCATTCCAAAATCATGCTCTATGCTGTTTGTGTGTTTGTTCGTTTTTTAAATTTTGTTATACTGTTAAATACTGCCAGAAGTCTTGGAACTCCATCTGAGAAGCATTGATATCAGAAATTGGAACATTTAAGGTGTAAACTGAAGAAGGGCTAGGGCAATACTTACTACATACTGTTACTAACTTAGAAATCTTCGGTAGCATAAAGAGTGATGGGTGAAGAGATGTATAAAGGAAATAATGAGAATTGGGGAAAAAATAGCTATTGGCCAGGAAAGAGAAAACAAGTATGAAAGGCCATTGTTGCAAATGAGTTTCTAAAAGTAGAAATTCAAATATGTTATCTTTTATTGAATCTAGCAACTGTGGAAGCCTCCTAAATACTTCTGATAGGCTAGTTGGTATGAGTTGTTACACTGTACAGTGGGTGAAAAAGCTAAGCTCTTTTCCTTGGAGTACTCACTATCTAAAAGGAGTAACTTGGTGTTAGAACATAGCTTAGGGCTGGGAAGGTGGCTCAATGGTAGAGCGCTTGCCTTGAATGCATGAGGCCCTGGGTTCGATTCCTCAGCACCACATAAGCAAAAAGAAAAAAGCCGGAAGTGGCGCTGTGGCTCAAGTGGTAGAGCACTAGCCT